ACCATGATTATCATATTAACAGGTCCGTATTGGAGCGGGACAATAATCAAACGTGCCGACGTTCAATTCACCATGCAAGATCTTTCAGCAGACTATGAGCCCGGCCAAGGACTCAGTGACACGTTGCTGTATTGGACTATACCCGTTTGCATCGGCAGTCCAGAATCCGATGCATGCCTTGATATCATTTTCAACGAATTCAAAGAATGATATTGGAAAATGCCCACCCTGGATATATCACTCTGTTTTAGAAGTGATGCGTACAGTGCCATGTACTCGAAATTGACAGAAAAACACTGCGCTAGCCTGAGTACTTAGTAAAAGTACGACAACGATCAATCACCTGTCTGTCTAGGTTTGTTCCATGATATCGGTCAAGATGGATAACGCAGTTTAAGAACTTAGACCTTGTTCTCATCCAGGTCGACTTGTCTCTAGCGCTAAACAACTATTATGAAAACAGCGGAATATCCGTGATAAATTATTCACAGCAAGACTGCGGAGCTACATCGTCTAGCCAAAAAAACGACTTACCAAACACAATGAGAATGAGCCTGATCCCTCATCTCTCTAAACGCAATACACCACGCAGGAAGCATCGAATCTCTCAATCGCAATATATCTTCCACCAAACTCTTGTACGACTCCTCAAGAAGGTACGATTCTCGGTGCTTCGTGTCGATATCGATATGCGCAGAAGGGTGAGAATACGTTCGCTAAGCTCATATTTCTGGTTCGGGGTTTCCGAAGAAGCCACTGACATTGGTTGTGAGGAAGTGGGTCATTAGAAATGAGCGTGAGGGTGAAGGAGAGGAGGAAGGACTTATACCCAGCAAAGAGCATCCTGTCCACTGTGACCAAACTGTGTGGCTTAGTACGATTGGCTAACTTGCACGCCACAATCATATAGTTGTCGGTGCTCCTGAGGGTGAGCGCTGAACGCTTCTTTTCGTTGTTAGTCCTCTGAGTCAAATGCGTAGCGCCATTCCTATTCCTATTTGAAGCTTTGACAACGTGTATTCGGCGTGCAGCGCACATGAGGTGGAGATCAACAAGCGCCAGGCTGCAGCCACCGGGTCGCGAGCGGTGGCGCACGTGGCAGAACAGTTCAGGGTTTAGGTAAGAAATCAACGAGACAAAATGGAAGAGAACTTTAGATCAGGCACACACTTCAGTACTTACTGTCATCAAAGCATTAATATTGTGCATCGTGCATCATGTATGGCAACCTGGCTAGATTCAATTCAATGGTCACGCTGGCGACTAGCCCATCCCGAACAGTGCGCACCCGACGAGCTCTAAAGCAAGTCATGTAACTGATCGATGTAAGCGACAATATGGCGATTTCCTGATCACATCCGTCCTTCCAGGTTCCGAATTTTGTTACACTCTTGGAAAATAGTTATCTATAACTGACTGAAGGCATGCAGAAGTATTGATCTTCCACCACTGGTTTTCATATTGAACTAGCTCTCACTATCTACTCAGCGCCTCGACAAGTATGGCCACCTGAGAGCCAGAACATTTTAAATCGGACATCTGATGCAACCTCTATCGATCTGCTTGCGTTACAATATGCTGTGCTAGCGACTTGCTGGACGTTGAGTCAGCTGAAGTCCTCGGTGAGCAACCGGCTAGAATTGAATTTGTAACATGCCCTAAGTATATATTGAACGCGACTAACACCATCTTCTAGACATGTATCCGAGAAGAACGGAAAACCGCGTATCTGTAGTTTCGAGCACGCATCGCATGGCACTGATGTCTTGCCAACAGCAACTGTCGTCCCTATTTCACGAGTCGCGCTTCGTGTCGGTTTGGGGGGAAATCGCACCGTTTTCGTAGAGAGAAGCTGGTAGGTTTCGTGGCAGAAGCTTATCCCTTCTAAGCTGAAAGTAACACGAGGATTCTTGGGCCCAGCATAAAAGCCTGGAACAAATGATTGCAGTTCACCATCGAACTTTTGCATCCTATCATTCGCACCCTGACAATCATGCTTGTTGCGGATTTTTCATGCCTCATACTATCGTCTCTACTTCTTGGCATTATGACCCACGGAATAGCTGCATTCAATATGCTATCCAACGACAATGTGAGGCTGCGTGCATTTTTCTCAATCCTGACTACTAATCCTTTCCTCATTAGCTCGCCGTGTAAGTGTCATATATATCATCTACAAGGTCAGGTACAAACCTCCAAATGTCACAGCTACTGGGGCCAGAATTCATATGGAGCCACCCATCCCGATAAAACTGCTCACTGGCAGAAGACGCTTTCATACTACTGCATGGTTAATTTCCTTTTATCTGAAGTCTCGAGTCGCTACTTGACCCTGAGTCTCTCAGGACAGTGTCGTTGATACCTTCCCAATTGCCTTCCTTGTCGATAGTTATGCGGAGGGTAATCTCCCGTCGATTGACCTAGCAAATGTGGGTAGTTCGTGACCTTCCAGGATCATGCTGACTCCAAGTTGATGTGCAGATCTGCAACTCAGGCAATGCTAACTATTTCCCAGGCACTGAATTACTGAATTGCTCTTTTCTTGCCTCGGATATCGAAATGTGCCAGTCCGCGGGAAAGGCAGTCACCATCTCGCTTGGTGGCGGAACAGGAAATATCCAGTTTCAAAGCGACTCTCAGGCCACCGCATACGCGCAAACAATATGGAATCTTTTCCTGGGTGGAAAGAGCAAGACCCGTCCCTTTGGATCTGCGATTCTTGATGGGTCAGTCAGCCTTTTCACATCTTCAAATTTGTTTTGAACATAGGCCAGAATTGACATGGACATCGAGGGTGGTTCGCAAGCAGGTTATGTTTCCTTTTTGACTGCGCTTCGCAAACATATGAATCGAGGCAAGAAGAAGTGAGGTTTATGTTTCTTCTGGTGTGAGCATTGGTTTATATCGTTTGCGCAGGTATTACATCACTGCTGGTAAGCCAAAACGCGTCTAATCGACACTCATTTGGTTTTCATGTCCGAAATCTGTCCCAGCGCCTCAGTGTCCTTTCCCGGACGAATATATCGGAGACACTCTCGACTCAGTGGGATTCGATGCAGTATATGTCCAATTTTGTCCGTCTTTTTTTTGATCGCCCCGCTGTTTCTGTGGTTGATAATCACTCACAGATAATAACTATTGTGATCTAAAGCATTACAACAATCGTAATGTAAGTTACGATGCTTCTGTCCAGTACTATTCCTCAATAGGGTCGTTGAGCACAGGACTGGAACTTTGCTGCTTGGTATGTACTGACGTGGGCCAGTTCGTGTCCTACTTCCTAACCCTCATTAGGGACGATTGGGCAAACAACGTCTCACCCAATCCTGACGTTAAGGTTTATATCGGTGCTCCCGCGTCATCCACTGCAGGGTCTGGCTATGTCAATTCCAAAAAATAACGTCAATAATTCAGCAAACGCAGTCCAATTACTCTTCCTTTGGAGGGGTCATGTTATGGGATATATCAGACGCGTACGGTGCGTCGGACCTCCCTTGTCTTCATAACCTTCCATAATTCCACTGCCTCAGCCAACCATCGCTATGACATAGCAGTCAAACAAGCTTTAACATCAGATGAGGATCTGCTCAACAAACAAATTCGCGATCAACATCTATCAGAAACGCGCAATATCACCCAAGAAGAGGACTGACGGTTATTCGTGCTTGACTGCATACCTCAATGGTTTCTCCCCATCGCCAGGGGTACCAACGTTTCAGTAAATTTCTCCCTAACTATGCTCTCAAAGGTTAACAACTTCTAGGTAGTTTGAACTTCAGTGAGCATTCTCAGGTATCTGTAGTTCTCGTAGATAAGCGATGTTGAAATTGAGGATCACGATTCACATGTGATAGGATACTTACACGAATCACATAAGTCTGTGTGCGTGATTGACACTGCAGCACATAATCTTCGCTGCCTTCGTCTGAATCGTTATGGATATCTTCACCTTTGGCTTGGAAGTTTGCAATGACCGATCGCGACCTTCAATATCTGCGATTGTTATCACCTCCACCATATTTCTCCTCGGAAAAGCCCAAAATTTCACTTACAAAAGCATGACCGTCGGCTTTGTTGTCATGAAGCTCTGAAGAAGACTACTTAGTCGGGTTGGAGCCTTGTCATAGGCGAGTGAGAATTTCGACCTAGTCACGATGAGTGAGTTCGACGACTAAGAAGAGAACCATCTCTGCGAAGGCTGTACGTAATTTAGGTCAACACCTTCGCCGTCTAGACTCATGACCAGCCGCATTCTATCACGGTAGTGGGAAGTGCGGGTCGGGGAATAACACAGATGAAGCAATTCTGACGCAAAAGGCGGTTAATCAGCAAACTGCGGAAGCGAGGCGTTGACTAATCCATTGTTCATATGCGACCTGATCGCCTCAACGCACGTTGAAATCGAACTGACAGCAATAGTGCGATTCCATGTCGAAGTATGCCCAAGATAGGTGACGGCGGGCGAATATCTCATCACCTGAGGCTCCAACTCATCTTAGCGGTCATCATGTGATGATGTACTTACCTGAAGGTGCGCTCGCGCTGCGTTTATCTCAATTTTGCCCAGTGGATTTTAGAGATCAGTCCGATAGGACATACTGGCATCTGAGATGATGACGACCCATACCCATAGTCAAACAAGGCCCAGCCCACCATATTGACGCGACGTCGTGAGGTGTCGATAAACACGACTTCTGCTAGAGCCTGGTGATCGCAATTACTAGTAGGGTTGAGGTTCGTTGAGGGGTCCTAAGGCCTGAGAGATATACATGTCAATCTGCTCCCACAAGCTATATATCCATGCCCATCTGCAACACAACATTCGAGTCTGATCAAGGCACTAGCACTAGTAGTACTCCAGACTACCACATTTCTTCATCGATGAAAAGAATCGCTCTGGGAGAATTCGGGCCTGTCGATTGTCGTTACGTAGTGCAGAGATAGTGGCTAACAAATCGAGATAGTATGATCAAAATATGGTCGAGGTAAGGGTGTGCTATATGGTGAAGTATGTACGACGGACAGAGATGCAAAATTTCACTCATCCGCGTCATCCTGTGCTTGTGAAAGGGCACGTAGGGTATTGTTAGATATGCACATCACTTCTGCGAATCTATCTGCAAAAAGCACAGCACCTTGAGCTCGCGTCTTGATGGCGCAGAGCTCTGCGAATGCAACGGAGACGCCGAACGAACCACTAAGAGTGTGTGCATAAGATGCCATGATGGTTTTGCGTTCCTCGTCAGAAAAAAATAATATCTTCTTCGAGTCTGGCCACTGTGCAAAGTGTTGTACTGACTTTTGGATCGCTTGTGTCTTTGGATCCGAAGACCCCCTCCCTTCTGAAGCCTTCTTCTGGAGAGAAACGGCGGCTTGCCACTTCCCATGTGCTTCCTTGACATGGGCTTGGGCAACGCTCAAGTTGTCTTGCAGAACGTGAGAACCAGCTTGGAGAGCTTCTGCTGCCCTACGAGACGCACAGAGGTAGGGTAAGGTAAGGTCGTGGTCTGCAGCACTGGGGGAAGAACTCCGGAGGACGGAATACTGTTTGAGGAAGTCGTCGCGGAGACGACGGCCCTCGTCAACAAGGGCGTCGAGAAGGTAGGGCGTCGAGCCCTTGCGTTTCGAAACCTCTTGGCCCTCGGTGTTCTGTTCGAGTGCGGCCATGTAGTACGGTTTACGTTTTCCGTTATTTTTGCGATCTTCTTCGAAGACACGGCGTTTAACCTGGAGCCCCGTCTTGCTCGCATCGAGGCAGGTAGTGAACCTGCACCGCACAACATAAGGCGAGTACCATAGCAATAGGCTGAAAAAAATTCTCACATGTATGCCAGTTGAATGGTGGCAGCACTTGCATAGCCGCGCTCATACACGGCGAGGTCATGAAACTTCGAATATAATCCGATTTTTGTGTCTGCGAGTCCAAGAAGGAGGGCCTTCTGGAACGCAGTTTGAGCCTCCTTTGGAGAGAGATTGGATATTCGTTCGTTAAATTTCTCAACATGTTCAACTTCTCGCTCAAAGTTGTCACTCAAACCTGCAGGCGCCATACACAGTGGAGCGGTATTGAAGTTTTCGACAAGCTGTTTGGACCAGACCAACGTGACCGTGTCTTTGAAAGCAATTATTGAATGACGCAATATAAGTGACATAAACTCACCTCCATCATAATCTACAGAATGAACACGTCAGCCGATGCCCAGAAAATGAGGGTGGAAGTAAGTGCCTACCTCCTCCACCCAAGTAGCTTGCCAATGAGCGCTCTCCCTTCACAGGGAACACGATGATATCGAAGTATTTATCCAATTTTGGGTAGCTGACAGCAGTGACCTGATCCATATCTGATAAAGATCATCCAACGAGGTATTGGTGACATCGGAAGGGAGTCTTGTGGGATTTCTCCACACCTGTTTATCAACGCATCAGGACAGTTCATTGCAATTGACTGAAGTGATCACCAGAACAGGCTCAGTCACAGTATTCATCCGGGCTCCGCTTTCGGGGTCAGTGATTAGTTCTGAAGAGCAAAAATGTATTTGCCCCTCCTCGAGGACCCCATATGGATCTGCTGCTGGATGAGCTAAGAAATAATCACAGAAGAAGCTACTCGCCCGGTATGATATATGCTTCCAGGGACTCCTCGACTGGAATGTGGAATTTCTTGATGTAGTCGTCGAGGACTTGGGTCACCACGTACTCAAGTTTGTAAAAAAGTTGGTCAAGCTTAAGAGGATGAAAACCGGCCTGCAGTAGTTCAAGGACAGACTCGTGTAGAGTCAGTGGTTCACCGCTGCGAGGATTGCGGCCCTGATTAGCCGAGATGTAAAGCTGTTCGTTTGCGAACGAATCTGTGCGCACTGTGCAGGTCAAGCTAGGCACGGCTTTCTGGAGCGTCAGTCCTTCACTCGGATATCCGTTGTATGTCGTCGCGTAGTAAGCAGATCGCAAGGGTTGAAACTGTTTGTGATTTACGTCCAACTAGAACGCGTGGGATTGAAAGAGAAGGTGACTGGTCACTGAGACCTGAGGGCCGCCGATGCGAGGCAGGCAATGAATCTCTCCGAATCTTCGGTGCCATACCCACTCGCGCATTTCGTACTATCTGTTTTCGACAGTTATATGCGGTGGTGAAAGAACAGAAGTAATAATAGTTAGCTCAAGAGGAATGAGCGATCGCACATACTATTTGGACTCGGAGCTCAGAAGATACATGAAGCTTGAAGTACAGACACGGATTGCGTCCGCAGGATCAATCGTTCCATGCTTGGATACGTAGTTCGGGTTTGAATTATTACCGTTCTCTGCAGAGAGCACAGTACGTATGCAGCATAAGAATAGAATGATGAGTAATTAGTTGTTGTTTGGCAAGGCAAACAGGCACGTATACTTGACTCACACTCTCATCCGATGGGTGGGACTGGAATAGTCAGCCGTTCTAACAGGTTTAAATCTTCATCCATGACCAGGCTCCTGTCGCCGAGATTCTTCGGAACAGACCTACATAAGTAGATTTAGGTGCTAAGAGCTTCACCCAGCTCACGCTGTGAATCACGCACACGCTCGACCGGCACGAGCACGCTGACCAAATTTAGAGGTGGTACCTGATAGTTTGCCGATTGTATGCAGCCTCCCGATATATATCGACCCCATCAAGTACTAGGCGCTCAGCCCAAGTGGCAGCAGTCCGAGAAGATCGTTTTGACAACGATACTGGCGGCAGTTGGCGTTTCCACGTACTTCCATTATGGGTCCTATAGGAGCACTCCTCGGATCTTCTGATACGCGTCGGAAGTATTTCGTGGTCGTACCATGTGCTTCGGATGTTCAACTTGTAGTTGGTTCGGATTCGCCAACAGGGAAATTACTAGGCTTGATATACTTGGCTCTAACGGCTATAGTTGGCGGTCTCGGTCTATACTAAGTCATGACGTGACGAAGGGGGCCTTATAGATTCCCCAAGGTGCGTCGTCCTTGCCTCGTGTATTTTTAGGGGAAATCACTAGAGAAGAAATCTCTTAACTGAGCACCGTGGATGTCACTCCTACAGTGCCGTAGCCAAAGGCGCGTCAAGCACTAGATGTTATATTCTTGGATATCACAGAGGTAAAGAGAATTCAGCAGGTGGCCTCCATTGGACACTCACATCTCTCCAGTAGTTCTTGGTCGTACCACATGGATGGTTAAACAGAACTCCATTTTCATCCAATTGACATGCGACTCAACTCCTGTGTGAGCAAGCCTCAGCTGCCCCGAATGGTTCAGCTGAGTTGTTCATTGCCGATATCGCAGGCACAATCGTTGTAGTCCAACTACCATGAAGCATAACCCTTTCCGTATCAGGTTCGTTGAGACTTCTATCTGCCATCGCATCCGCATTCCGTGCTGCATAAAGAGAAAGTGGTCTTGTGCAATAATATGTTGTCTGTCATTGTTCCCCATCCTACTATTCCTATTCTATAGCAACGAAGATCATCGCGATGTTATCCAAATCTACCCTGACATATGTGCAGTTTCTCTGTTTCGTTACCCGCACTATTGCGGCGTTTGACATGTCATCAAATCAGAATGTCAGTTAGTCTTCCTGTTTCCTGACGCGTGATTGACAATTTCGACTAGCTGGCTGTGTGAGTAGATCACGAGCATAATACGCATTTCTCCGTTACCAACGACCTACGGGTTGCAGGTATTGGGGTCAGAACTCATATGGAGCTGTCAATCCAGACAATACTGCAGAATGGCAGCAGCCCATCTCTTACTATTGCGATGTCCGCCTAATCCCATATTATACCGGAAAAATTGTCTCATGTCTTAATTGCAGGACACCATAATCGACACCTTCCCGATAGCCTTTCTAGACGAGTTCTACTCGACAGACAACCTCCCGTCCATCGACCTTGCAAACGCAAGTTCTCGTTTTTGATTGCCCGAACCTATCTAACCCTGCAACAGACTTGCAACACAGGCGATAATTCTCTTTTTTCAGGGACAAACCTCCTCAATTGCTCATTCCTCGCATCAGGCATCGAGACTTGTCAAGCTGCAGGAAAAATCGTGACGATCTCATTGGGAGGAGCAACAGGCTCTAATGGCTTTGCAAATGACACCGAAGCAGCGGCATATGCACAGACAATCTGGGATCTTTTCCTGGGAGGTTCGAGCAGCACGCGTCCTTTCGGGTCCGCCATCTTGGACGGGTAATAATGCATCAACCTCTTAAGAATGTACGATCTGACTTTAAATCCAGCATTGATATGGACATCGAAGGTGGCTCTCAGACTGGATTTGTATCTTTCTTGTCTGCCCTTCGTGCCTTGATGGATGGTGGCAGTAAGCCGTACGTCGTTCTACAGGCTTTTTAATTCGCTTTCTAATAGCTTTTTCATAGGTACTACATCACTGCGGGTTCGGTTCCTGATGCTTCACACGATGACTGTTACTAATACTGTGAGATTTATCAGCGCCTCAATGTCCTTACCCCGATGCCTACATTGGTACTACTCTGAACGAGTTTGGATTTGATGCTGTATATGTCCAGTTTTGTGAGTGATATTTTCAGCTTGAGTTTGCATCTTACACACGTTTAGATAACAACTATTGCGGATTGACGAATTATGACAACCCGAATGTGAGCATTCCATAGGCCGATTGTTATCATCGACTAACAATGTGAACCGTAGGCTTGGGACTTTGCAACATGGTATATGATCTCATTTTGACTGACCGAAGTTTTCTCCGCCTGACCAAAGCACAGGGACAATTGGGCACATACGGTATCCCCTAATCCAAATGTCAAAGTCTACATTGGTGCCCCAGCATCATCGAGTGCAGCTGGATCCGGATATGTCAGTCCATCGACGTTTACCCCAATAATCCAGGAAACAATGGCCGAATATTCATCTTTCGGAGGCGTTATGCTATGGGACGCGTCTCAGGCGTACGGTAAATCCGTGATATACTGCCTCTATACACTTATGACTGAATTTTCTCTTCAGCAAATGACAGATACGACATCTCTGTCAAGGATGCACTATTAGGCGGTACGTCTTCCCCTCCGCCGACTACGACTACGATTACAACCACCGCCACGCCGACGACCACGACCACGACTTCGCCGATTACTACCACAACGAGCACCAGCACAATATCAAGTCCTTCTCCCACAACAACATCTGGGACTATTTCCTGCGCTGGCGTGGCAGCATGGCAAAGTGGTGTTGCTGTGAGTTCGATTACATATTACGCAATTTTGGGAGTCTAACCACTTTACTTAGTATGTTGGAGGCGACGAAGTCACATATGAGTGCGTGTGCAAGTTGACTTGCGCTCGTGCATTGCAATCTAACGTATCACATTATCACAGTGGGGACCTCTGGACTGCGAAATGGTGGTCGGAGAGTGATGTTCCAGGTGGTAAGTGAAAGTTTCTTGTGTGACGCTGCTAGTTTACTATTTGGGATGATCCTTAGGCGCTTCCGGTGATTGGGCAAACAGTGGCGTATGCACATAACGATTCTACCTCTGCGCGCTTTTGTTAGATGTAGAGGTTGTTGCTATTGCTAGACTGCCCAAGCCCAGCTAATATTTTCTACATAGTGTACAACAAATGTTTAACGATGATGTATTTCCCCTTTATTTCTTTCGTGTAGTTTATGATAAATTTTACAAGCACCCTTTATCTGATGCAACGCCGGAAAATCTCTGAAGTTATACACCAGAAACAGTATGTGTTCCCCGGGCCTCGGCAGCCTCGGCAAGCCCTGCGTGTCCCACTCCATGCGCCTTGTATGGGTATTTGAAACGTGTGTATGGAATAAGTAAGATGAATTCGTCGGGTTTATGGGTCTGTCAAAGTCTATGGCTTACAGATAGGACAGATGCGTGCGTCTGGCCAGCCAGTGGGGTGTCAAACGCGAGGACTACGTCCGGGGGTAGTGGGTGATTAGCCTGGTCACTGCTCCCGAAGTTTAAGCTTTCCGGTCGATCGCGACAATGTTATTTGTCCCAGCATGTCACAAGATACTTGTGGTAATGGAAATACTCCGGTTTCATGCGAAAACGACAGGCCCTTCAGGAAGGTCAAACTGGTATAAACCGATGTTCGTGGTTTCTCCACGTCATCGAGTGAGTACTTTGACGGGGTTAGGAATGACTCTTACGGTGCTTATGTAAGCTTAGTCTAAATTGAAGGGTTCACTAAAAAGGAAAGCTTTGGTGGTTTCCCAGCTTACGGTTGCTGTCTCATTACCCCTGCGGTAGTTGGACTCATACTGCGTGCTGAACACGCCTTCGCTTTGTCCCATTTCTGACCACGACTTTGATCGACTCATACTTCTAGACTTGTAACCCTAATGTCGTTTCTTTTCTAATTTCTTTCTACTACCCATTTCATACTGGTCTGTTCGAGTCAAATACCATTTCCCTTTACAATGTCCAATGACATAAACAAGGCCGACCAGATAGCACACAGATTCTACACAAAGCTTTGTCTCGTCGTCTCAAATGCTAGGGCTACTTCTGAGCCGAGGTCTCAATCAAAGGTCGACAAATGGGTGCGTAACTCCTTCAGGTTACAGACTAAACTAACCTCTTTACAGTTCAATCTTGAAACCCCAGACTCTGACCTCTTCAAAGATCATCTACGCATATACAAAGCAATATCTACTACGCCTGCGCCACCCCCACTCGAACTTCAGGTGCTACTCTCCGTCCCAGATCTTATCACTAATCAAGTCTTGGTCCACCTTGCACATGACTCCTCTCGCTCTCGTGTCGACCCAACGCCCAGGCACATCGTACTCGAGAATTGGTTGCTCAATTTTGTTCCAGAACCTCGTGGCGACAGTGACTCCGACAGTGTGGCACCATCCACCATTTACAAGCACGGTATACCTCTCTTCCGTAGTATCTACAGTTTGCTTCGTATTCTTCCCTCCTGGAAGCTTTACAAGAAGCTCAGGAGGCGCACGAGCAATGCATACCGGAACGGCAACCTAAGTATCCATTTGCGCGTCAAGGGCCTCGACGACGGCGTTAGCGTGACTGACATCCTCGATTTCGGTAAGTCACGTTACCTTCAACCTCGTGGCTTCATCTCATGTCAGCACTTCATCTCCGTCCAATGAAGACACGCCCCCTGCACCCAATGCACCACCACTACAGCACCAAACTCATCTCTTCCCTGCCATTCCACATCCTTTAGGTACACTCTCCCTTGCCATCACCTACCTCTCTTCTCCGAACTTCCAGCTCGACGAACTTGAGTCCCTCCTCTCATCTCGCTTCCTCTCTCTAGATGAAGGACAGGACTTCACCCCTACCCTTGCAAAGAATCAGCAGCGTGATTCCCTAACAGGCCTTCCAGGTAGTCAACCATTGCGCGCATCTCTTCCAAAGTCACCGCTGTCCTCAATCGCAGATCGTTTTGTTCTCCCTGCCCCAAATTCTCACTCACGTACAAACTCCATGCCAGTCAGCCAGAGTCCGCGCTTGGGCGCTTTCCCCGTAAGTCGTACTTCCACCGGTGCTGGGATCAATGCAGGATCAACATCTGCCCTTTCGATTGCGTCCTCGCGTCAAGATTCGAGTACAGCTTGGTCTAAGGAAGACACAGGACCTTTTTCGGGCATTTCCGCTGCTGCACGCATCAGATTGGAGAGTATGGGAGGAAGGAGTAGTAATGCTGTCAGTGTTATCATCCGATTTATTCACCGGCGACTGACGTATTTTCAGGACCTCCCCTCTGCCCTAGGGCCACTTCCGATCCGAAGACCAGGTATTAACCCGGTCCATCCATTCAAGACATCCACGCTGTCATCAGGCTCTCCTTCCCTCCACTCACCTTCCCCTTCTCTGCGTCAACCGTCGCCACTCGCCGCAGGCAATCTATCGCTACCTTCTCGTCCGGTGCCACTGTCGCCGAACTCCTCTCGTGTTGTTCCCCACTCCTCGATTGGTTTCGGTAGGCAGTCACCAAGTAGCATCGGAGGCCGCTCAGAAGGCGAGGACACATCTCCGAAGATCCCAACGAGGAAGCGTTATTCCAGCAGTTTTGGTCATCGCTACGCTGCAGCTGGAGGTGGGGGGAGCGTTGGAAGTGCAGGAAGTGGGGAACGAGCAGAGGTGAGCGACCTCATTACCTTATTATACATCATCCTTCACGTTGCATATCGACCTCGCTGATATTGCATTTCATCGCACGTTGCTTCATTTTTCATCATTTGTTATTTATAGATGGAATATAGTACTGATAACTTCCTGTGCAGAGTACTTCCTTCCTTGGCGTACCCACCGATGACGATGAGATATCCATATTTGTCAAAGATATTGATGCGCGGAAGCCACTCAATGCTCAACGTCAACCTTCTCCCGCGTCTACACAGGGCCGACCCGCTACCCCATCACACACCAAATCCGACTCCATGGGTTCCGCGGGACCGATGTTGACACGAGAAGAAGAAGTCGACGAACGTTTACGCCACATGAATGAGACGTTCCTTGCGAGCTTGGAGGGACTTGGTGGTAGCCGGAGAAGAGGCAGTATAGGTGGAGAAGAGGTAGGCGCAAGCCCTATCTCGAGTGTAAGTGGACGTGGTGAAGGAGAGAACAGAGGTTCGCAGCCCACGGGGATCTGGCGAGAATCGTCAAGACCGAGACTTGGCTCGTTACGCAGCATGAGTGCCAACGACGTGGCTTCGAGTGGGGGGTCTGCAGAAGTGATGGGGAAGTTGGAGTTCGATGAAGAACCTCAGGCACGAAGATAAGGTTCCCGTTGATGCGGCATGCATCTACTCTCATAAACATACGACTAATTTGGTGGGGTGATGGGGATTAGCCTTGTATCTTCTGCAAGCTGCAAGGTCAGAACCAGGTTACTGGGCGAGTTTGCTGATTTTCATGGCATCGTCCTCGTTATATTATTTTCACGCATTTTATAGCCATTTGTTCCATTATCTATCGTCATGCATACCCGAACTCTCGTCTTTATCATATGCATAAGTTCTATACGCAGGGTTGATTGGCAATTCATGAGTATGTGTGCCTAGTAGGAGTTGTCGAATCGACTGTCTCGGACAACACACATCAAATTTTCCGACCTACTACGGTCTAGATGGTGAACGCACAATATCAATAATCTTGCTGCTCAAGGCTACTTGACTTTGGGCCACTTCATCAACAAAATGTTCATCTTGGCATTCGATGATGGCTTGGAACTGGTCGCGGAAATTCCGTTCCTCTTGTCCATTGGCGCATCACCAAGATTAGAATAGTTAGCACTGTTCTAGGTTTTCTGGACCCAATCCCAATGTGTTTGATTGAAGCATGGAAATAGAAATCGGGCTAGTGGCGTACGAATGATGAGAAGTGGCATGGATCATTTTCACAATCGCCTACCTTCGCCCACTCAATTTTACCAGGCACGTAGCCGGGCATCAAATCCCAGAATAATCCACTTTCCTTTGACATATCATGATCTGTTAACGGTATGATGGATACACCGGGTACTTGAAAGACGCATCGCTATGTTCGGTCAAAGACAGGACGGAAGCAAATGCCCTTCGAACACATGGGAAAGTGCATGAGCACCCTCAGGGTTAAGCGTGGCCTGGGGGCTGTAGATGCTTAGTCTGATCAGTGAAACACATAATGACGTAGGGATTTCGTGAGGTTTGCTCATTTGAGTAAGAACTAGCGAAAGATATAAAGTTGACGGAACGTTGGTGAGATGAGGGACACCATAATGGGTATGCCACATCATTGGCAGCGAAGCAAAGAGAGAAAACCACGAACCGGGTGTCATGTATTCCTGCAGAATGGGCTCAATAGCAAATAAAGCAAATCTTGGTTCTGCCTCGATCGGTGAATTAGCTTCACTGATAAGCCGTACCTCTGTTAGATTGCACGTTTCAAACAAGTGTATTAGTACACAAACCTCCGCGGACTCGGAATTGCAGTTAGCTGGAGGTACTTCCTAGATGTGTCAATGACTTACAGCACCTCAACTTCGTCGTCGAACTCTATATTTTACCTTGTCCGTTGCATAATAGCTGATACGAGCCGGCTATGATGGTCAAAGCATGGAATATGCTCACCGGATGCTTTTGATACTACTTTAACCGCGAGAGTCCTCAAGTCTAGGATATCGCAGACCAAAAAATTGTGCCGCAACACAGCACAGTATTACTAGTCATTAGATTCATTACAACGTCCTCTGAAAACGACCGGAACTTACGATTCGAACGAGTGCGTGCTTGCGGGAGTCACATCAACATCCTCGCCGTTCGTAGTGGCCCGTCCAAGGCCCGTCAATTAAGAAGTTTAAAGGAATGTGTTGATCCGAATTTCACGAGCCACATGGGTATCAACTTTAGGCAACACTTGCAAACAGTCCGATGGGGCCCGAATTTCTCAGGTTATTCCCGTCCAAGCTGCATCAATCATCAACCGAGAAACTACTAGTATGACCTTGTCATCCAAAAAAGCTCGAGGCTTGTCGCCCTTATGGACCCGGAGGCCTCTCGGTCTTTGAAACCTACCGTACTCTCAAAAAAATGCGCAACCCTCCTAGTAAATTTCACTACCATCGGCGAGTCAGGTCATTAATTCTCTTGTTGAAACGAATCATTCAAGTGTCAATCTATAATAGTACTTACTTGAAGCAAGTTGGTGCGCCAAGTCCTACTGTTTAATGCCACAGAACATTTTTCCGGTTATAGACGCGCTCATATACATACAAGCGAACTTGATCAGCATCATCTTCGGCGTGAACACTGCTATCCCAGATATATATTTGTCTCACCTTGGCTACTGCTGATGTCGGACAACTTGTGGATTACATCATGTTGTAGCCGGGCCTGCCAGGTTGTCGTGGGCACATTTTGTACAGCAAGAAAAAGCCCGTTTCTTGTGCAACGTGGTCACCGTTTAGATCGTTGGACATGTGCATCGGTGATTTAAAGATACGACTTTCTGTTGCCCTCTAACGGCGCAGGCTCAACGGGTTTTGATCACGGTGCTATTTCATGGAGGGACTGTACGTCATCAAAGCATCTTGCCACAAGTCCGAAGTCCTGATGAGGTATGTGTAGCAAGGGAATTCGGTACCGGTTATCATAACACATTCTTTTTGATTGCTATGCTTGATTGACCGGCCACTCAAGTCACTCGCTTGGTGATTGCGCTGATGGGCAGTCAAGGGTCCAGTAGGACCCTTGTCGGCGCCGGCTTTTATTCAAACGCCTTGATCTTCTATATTATATGCAATGACTCGTTCCAGCTTTTTCTCTCGGTGTTGTTGAAGATAAGAGCTGATTTGTAAACCTTAGATTATGGTGTGTTCGCCATAGAGATGGTCGCAAATTTTCTCTTGCGATGGGGCTGTAAGTCGGACGTAGAGTGCTGCCGTGTTTATTATAACAGTCCTCAAGTCACCCTATCCCATTCTTTTGAGGCGATACACATTGCAGTGCTGCTAGCCTCTGGCGATTCACCTCCAAATTCGGAAATCTCTTCACACATCATGCAAAAATATGGCTTCTAGACGAAACAAAATTTACAAACACAGCAAGTGAAGTGGATGATCGGCTCTTTTGTGTGTTCCTTCTGATTTCGAGTACTCAGGTTGCACATAGTTAGGAATCTTTATCACTCGTGACATACTCGAATCGGTGTGCCAGAGTCGCTCTAAGTTTCCGTACTCATGAAAGATTCCGTGAGTTACTACGTCATTGTTGATTTTCATGATTTGGAAACAAGGTCGGCGATTCAATGGTTGCCCCATGTCATACACGCAAGAGGTAAGAAAGACGCATGAACTCAAATAAGACATGTTGCTACACGTAACACATCAAACACCGACAGAAAGGGTGAAGTCATGCGAGACGAAGATAGCGCACCTGTGCTTCCCCCCTTAATAAGTTACCGCAAGCACTATTAGAGGTTATCAAAGCCACCCATACAAACACACGATGTCTCAGCCGATGATTATACTTTACGACGTACCATCCAATAGTCCGCAACCTTGGGCCCCCAATATCTGGCGGGTACGGTAAGGCATTTTTCTCTAACAAATATATATGCTGATATATTTTCTAGGTTGATACTCAATTATAAACGGCTCCCCTACCGTACTACTTGGGTGGATTTTCCAGACATCGAGGAAACCCTCCGTGGCATTGGGGCCCCACCAACATCCGTCAGAAATGATGGCCGGCCTGTCTTCTCTCTCCCAGTCATCGTGGATCCCATACGGTCGCCGCAGGCTCCTATAGTACTTTCAAATGCAAGTCACATTTCTGAATATCTGGAGGTTACTTACCCAGGCTAGTATAACTTTCTATCTGCAATCTTTATATCTGAACAATTTGCAGCGCGTCAAGTCTTTCCAGAGGGATCTCGTGCACTGCAAGCGTTGTTTGTGCACTATATACAAGAAATATTCGCGAAGCCACTGCTCCCTATCATGGTGCCTCTTAGTCACCAACGTTTACCGGAGCGTAGTCAAACTCATTTCCTCAGTGGGACGACGGCAAGTCATCTTTCCGTTCCTCCAGAGAGAGAGCAGGCTTGGAGGGCAGTTCAAGAGCAGTTCGATTTTCTAGCAAATATTCTTGACAAGAACTCAGGCACTGACGGTGACGGGGTGGTTTCTATGGGCCATGAGCTCACATATGCTGACTTCGCCATCGTTTCGGTACTCATTTGGATAGAGAAAGTTGCACCGCATGATGGCTGGGTGAGGATTCGGCAGTGGAACGGAGGGCGGTGGGGTAAATTATGGGAAAGGTGCAAGAGCTGTATGGATGTATTTTAATTAATTCCTACGACGGGCGTCGCATCTAGTGAAATTGCCATCCCTTCTATACCTTATTTTTTCCCTTTGTTCGAGTTTATACTGTACAAAATGTTGATGTATTGGCCCGTGACAAGAGTGGGCGTATGATAGTAACTCTGATTCTGTGTGCACATAGCGAGACTCAGGTGAAGGGGCATGCCATCAATGCAATTCCGATATGCGCAGCAGACGTAGTCGCTATAAACAGTCCTACTAGTATAGTCTACTTATTCAACACCTTACCAGTAGTTGAACCTCCCTCAACTTGAGATGCGATATTCCTCGCACAAGCTAACTTTAATCAACCATGAATCTTGATACCTTGCCGCCTACTTTGAATCAATTCCTCACTACTGGGGGTTCTATAATATATATCATTGCCTCAGGCCAGAAGTCCGAGTCTTAGTAGTACCACGTACGGTTGCTTTAGGTTGTTTGTATTTGTTTTATTATGCAGGGCTTGACTGTGGTAGACGCTATAGCCTCGACATCCGACACTATTCAACTAATGCATCATCCTCTGTTTATTAATATTCCTGAAGCCCTCCTGGGATTTTGTGCAACTCATTTAAATTTCGAACCCATTCAAGTTGTCATACAGGGCGATACGATCAATGATCAAGAAATCCAACCGTAGCACTTGCGAGGACGTGCAAAACCTTTCATGAGGTTGCAATGAACGAGCTTTGGGTTGACACAGATGGTTCAGAACTGCTGCTAGGCCGTGTAACTAGGCCATATACAGTGATATATCCTCCCATCAAAAAGGTCAGTATGGAGTCTAGACTAGCCACGCCGTTCTTTTGATTTTTTTTGTTCATTGGCTCATATGCCAAATGCCTTTCGAGATATCGAGTCATCATCCGAGCATGAGGCTCGCCTAATCGATACATGCATCTTCCCGAGTGCGGTCGTCTGTCAACATGGAGG